TCCTCAGGATGTCCTCTTTTGGTCCGGAAATCGTCCTCAAAGGACGAGTTCTGGACATCCTGATGGAACATTAATAAAAGGAAGTACTTCAGATAAAATTATTTATTTAAAATGCTATTTCTGGAAGCTGTCACAATAACTTGCTTTTGAAGGATTTCTTTATTGTTCATAGTAACACGGTCGTCCTTAGGATGTCCTCTTTTGGTCCGGAAATCGTCCTCAAAGGACGAGTTCTGGACATCCTGATGGAACATTAATAAAAGGAAGTACTTCAGATAAAATTATTTATTTAAAATGGTATTCCTGGAAACTGTCACAACAACTTGCTTTTGAAGGATTTCTTTAGTGTTCATAATAACACGGTCGTCCTAAGGACATCCTTAGGACATCCCCAAAAAAGGGACGTATTGCAGACGACCTAAGGACATCCTCTGGATGTCCCTTGTTTGCTGGGATGGAACACAGACGTCACACGCGAAATATATATATTTATTTAAAAGGAACAATTAAACACTCACAAAAATATATAAACGTTATATAGAAAATACTAAACAATTTTGAAAGAACACACAAAAAATTTGCAAAACACAGCTACTGAGCTGCATTTGAAGTACCTACATCATCATTATCTGCAGCGTCATCTTTGTTTGGAACAGTCTGCCTGATTTTGGTGATCAGTCTGTCTTCATTAACGAGGACAGAAAACTCACCAACATGAATAAAGTTCTCCTCCATATCTTCTACGTCATTTAAGAGATGGCACATATCCTGCTCACTTAAATAACACCGAATTGCAGAACTTGTAATGCTGACTGTGTGATCTGTGCCATCCTTTGTAATCGACATAGTCCCAGTATATGTTGTGTTGTATGACGAACATTTTTGCATTAGTTTACAGCCAATACATTTCTGTACAGATGATTTACCATTAAAGTCATTTTGCGTCTTTTGGCATTTGGAACACCGATGTTTGCACAAGTTCTGTATTCCAGTTACAGTTCCTGAGCATTCAAAACGAGTTTCGGCCTGACGGATGTAGCTGCATCCAGCGACTTCAAGTCCGTCAATTTCTATTATGGCAGTGGATGGTGTCCCCGAGAGATGTATTCGTCCCTCCCGTTCTCTAGTGGACAAGTTAGTAAATTTGTAGGATTTCATAGGTTCCACCTGTAATTTGCGTGTCCCATAAAGAGAGCTTCAGGTGTCCCGTGGAATCTCCGATCTGGAACTCTTTCACTTCCAAGTCAATGCCGTTCACGTTGACGACTTTACTGGAGATTCCAGGGGCCAGAATTTTCGCTTTTAGGACACCGACCTGATACACACACATATAGGTACACAAAGTAGGACTGATAAGAAAATACTGATAATCGCTAACTTCACACGACATGGCTATCATATTGTAATTTCGTTGAATATTAGCGCAGGGTGATTTACATGTATTTTAGGCAGAGTTAAAAGGGGTTTTAATAAATTGAGGTAAAACTAGTTATAAACCACATAAACAGGGTAACAGTCGTTAATTTAAATGTACAGGCACATTAGAAACGTATTTCTTACGACGGATTAACGCACTTCTAATAATTGGCTATATCAACCAAACAATGCATGACTACATTTCATTGTACTACTCATAAGATTATTCCATCTACTTACAGTTTGCCTAGGTCCAAGTGTTTGCACTTAGGCAATATTTAGCTTTGAGCTGCTGGGAGGGACCTTGGGTAAAAAGGAGAGGTTCACGACTTCCAAACTGGTGCTTCTGTTGCACAAAACGTCAAAGCCCGTAGGATCTGAGTAGCCTAGAAAACATGAATAACGAGTAAACACCACCTTCATTTAGGTTAAATGGCCACTTCATCTGAAGCAGAAGCCCCTGTTCTGTTTTCTTTTATTTTAAGAAAATTAAGACTTACTGATACTTCGCTTGACGTTAGTGAGCTTCACTTCCGTCTTGTTTTTGCAGGCTTGCGTGAAAGATGCTTTTCTCTGGACAAAAGCAGACAACTTTATGAAAGTCGTCCCTGCTAGTTTGAAGGAGTGCAGTGAAATACTTCAAATTGCGCTTTAACACAATATTTGGAGACACGGAGTGCAGAAAGCCCTCCAATGTTTCAAGGTCCTGTTTCGCGATCTTGGCAGGACTAGCCATAGCTGCAGAATGACGCACACAACCAACGGTCTCTTTGCACTGTGAGGTGTTAATAAAGCCGATGAATCCTTTGGTTTTTTTGTTTAGGAAATATTGTCAATTGGATTTATTTACATTTATAGATAAAAGGTTTTGTTGAATTTTACGGCTTTGCACGCGTCCATTTTTTTGCTCGTACCGTTTATTGGAATGACGCAAGTATTGGATCTGTCGCCATAACACTGTTAATATCCATTGGCGTAAACAAATTAAAGTTTGTCTTACGATTACCGCATTTTGTTTTTAATGATAGCCGCAGGCCTATACTATAGCACAAAACAACACTAAATCATACCCATTAATTGATAGTCTCCCTGCACTTCATGTAGAAAATTTTAAACCTCGTTTTTCATGATATGGTTAGATTTTTTTGTCCGGCGCTGCAAAACGTCATCACGCGTCACCATGTCACATAGTACAAAAACCTTGCAAGAGCAAGACGACTTAAGACCGATCATACAGCACCTCTCAGCCGGCTGAACAAACTGGAACAGCCTCCGTGACGACACAACTTTGCCCTTATTGGCTGAAGAACGTGACGTTTTCTATCCCAGGAAGTTCCGATGCGTTATCTGTTATTTCTCACGAATATCACGTAAAGCAGTGAGAGCTGGTTTTCAGCTAATTTACCTGGTAAAATAAAGTTTAAATAAATTACATAAATGCTCTAATAGTACACGTAAGTTAGTGGTTTATTTGTTAGTTACTGTAATGTTGCACTGCTTTATTTGTTTAATCGTCCAGTCTGTGAAGAGTATTTTAGGGTGGCACATGCCCCTGAGGCTATCCCATTGGTGCGCCTCCCCCGCAATACCTCTGCGCCCCCCAGTTTGGGAACCACTGCCATATAGGGACCAAAATAATCTGGGTCCAGTTTTCCCCAGTTGCACTGCTCACTGCGGACATTTCTCCTCCACCTGTCCCCCACCTGAAGGCCTTGGTGTTCCTTCTCCTTGTTCCTTTGTAACTGTTTATCAACACTGACCTCAACAATGTCCATGATTTCTTCATAACGTTTCATGTCAGAGGCCACTTCTTAGACGTAGTCATCCTCAAAGGAGCCATCAACCTATGGCAACATGTTAGGTAGTTATGCTGATAAAATCATTATAATGTGCACAAAAATTTAAAGATATAAATGATTTAACATTTGTTTCACCTGATAATATTCTGGGCCTCGGACGGGTATAGTGCTTCTCTCCCAAACATCAGAAAATATGATAAGTACTGTGTTGTGAGCTGCTTCTTCGTGCGCAGCCCAAACATAACTTGCTCCAAATATTGCTCCCAGGTGTTGGGCTTGTCCTCTGCCAGTTTTGCAAGAGTTCTGAAAAATGATGTAGTCAATGTATAATGTAAACAAAGATGTTTAAAACACACTATTCATATATATACTCATACTGTGGTGGATGCATTTTTCATCTCTGTATGGTGCCATTGAGCCTCTCCACCAATCCGTTGGTCTGATGGTGGTATGGGGCACAGAGGCTATACACTAACATAAATTTGTCTAATTTTATATCAAATTGATTACACAGCAATGAACGTCATGAAAAACATGATCATTTGTGTAGTAGAAATGAAAATACTTACAGTATTAAACTCTTTGCCTTGGTCAGTCAGTATCCGTTTGGGGACTTTTAGGTTTTAAGGTGCACTGTCACTTCTGCAGCTGACTTGGTTTTAATGAGAAGTCTGTGTCCATATGGTGCAATAATCAATTGCGATGCATATGTACTGATTTTGCTGGTCAGATCTGACCAACTTTCCAATTAAGTCCATTCCAATCAGTTTGAATGGAACCTTTGTATGTCAAAATAGACAAGAATGGAAGAAAGTCTTATAAACACATTCATATTTTTACATTTAGAAATTAACTTATAAATATAATTATTTAAATTCCAAAATAGATTTTGTAACATTGATTATGCAGTATGCAGATTTATTAAGTAGATTATGTAACATAATAAATCTGCATATTTAAGATTTTTTATTTGTCGCGTGCATATTTATAATACAGGCACAACACGCAGTGAAATGTATCCTAAACCGCTCTTAGCCGACTGTGCAACCGTCTAAATTTTTAAAAAGAGGATATAGAAAAATATAGAATATATATATTTTTTAACTAAGTATGAAACAGATCTAGGCATATTACAGTGCTATGTGCAATGCTGGCACAACAGTATAAACATTGTAAACAGTGTAGCAGCATGAATAATAATCAAGGTGGAGACAATAAGAAAAATGACAGTCAGTATGACATATGACAGTCAATGTGCAATATGACACTAAGAATTAGGTTGCTTTGCGGTGAACATGAAGCTAATACTATGAGGAGGTGGGCATGTCCCGATTTAGTCGTCGAATGGCCTGAGGATAAAAACTCCCAAGGCTCTCTTTTGACCATTATGGTGCAGAATCTACTGCCTGATTGCAGAAGCTGAAACAGTCTGTTACTGGGGTGAGACAAATCTTTTACAGTCCTAATTGCTCTGGTCCTACGTCTCCTGGTGTAAATGTCCTGAAGGGAAGGGAGAGCCGACCTGTAGCAATGTCACTCTCTGGAGGGCTTTTCGGTCCCGTACCAGGACAAGATCTTCTGTGTCTGGATGTTCTCCACAGCGGCAGAATAGAAAGTCTTTAGAACAGCAGTGGAAACTCCAAACTTCCTCTAAGATGGTACACTGGGGAACTGAACTAAGACAGGAACTTAAATAGAGAAACTGAAATGGGTAACAACGCAGCAGGAGTGAGAAATGAGATAATTAACCAATCAGGGAGGGTGCAGGACAAAGAGCAATTAGGTAACACACAAGGACTGGCACAAGAACAGGCAACAGGTTAATGTTTTGTGGGCCTGGAACCCACCACCAATCTTGAATCCATGTACTACTTTGAATCTCCCCAACTCGATTTGCGAAGAAAGTTTGATAGCCATAGCTTTCCCGCTGTATTGCACCCAGGGTAGTTTGGCTGTCAACAAGATGGTACCACTTCTCCACTTGAATTCGGCTGTGTATTTCAAAGTACTTCTTCAGGCGCGATGCAAACACGGCTCCACACATCTCTGCTTTCACAACATCACCTCTGTGATCCAAAGGAGTCAACTTGGCTTTTGACTCAACCAGCCGGATGATAGCACCCTGGTCTGTACTCCATCGCAAGTACAGGACAGCCCCATATGCATGCTCACATCCATCAGAGAATGTGATTGCCCATGGCTTGCCTGCACAGGATGAAGGAGTTAGGGCTCTAGTGAACTTAACCTTGCCAAGCTGGACATACTCTTCAAAAATTCAATGGGTCTTCTCTGAAGCCATCTGACAGTGGAGCGTCCCATGTATTCCTGATAGGACCAGTCCCACCTTTTGCTTCTTGGAACGCTCTTCGCTCTTCGTGATCAGGCCACTTGGATCATACAGTCCTGCTACCTGGCTGAGCAGTTCCCTTCGTGACAGGGGGTTTGGTGTCTGGGCCCTAACTTGATTTTGAAGAAGATTTTGACCAAGCCGCATCTTTTTCTTTCTCTTCGAGAAATTAATCGCCGTCATGACATGGAGCTTGTCCTCTTCAACTATATAACCCAGGCCAAGAGCTTTATTATCCTCCTCACCCATCTGGTTCGGCAGGACCATCGTTCTTGACCTAACTGTTTCCTTGCCTTCTAACTCAACACCACACTCTTTCGTCCTACCTTGGCCCGAAAAGACCCATGGCTTGACCTCAAAAGCCCCAGCTTTCAGAATCTGCTCCACATTTAGTGTAATAGTTCTCAAACGGTCTAGGTCATTGTGCGAGGTAAGAATGTCATCAACATAACTGTCCTGCTGGAGTACCTGGCGCTCTTCCTCAAGATGCAAAAAACAGGGGAGATTGGCAGTTTCACGCATTGCTACTGTAACTGCGCAATACACCCTGCTGGCTTGTCTCCAATGTTCACCCTGGTGATGGCATACTCTCCCAGCTCTTCCCCATCTGAGTCTCGCCACAGGAACCTATGCAGGTGCATTTCCCGGTCTTCAAGCCAGACAGAGTTGTACATCTTTTTTATGTCACCCAGGGCAGCAAACGCACCACCCCGGAAACCAAGGAGAACAGCACGGATCTGGTTGAGGACATCTGGACCCTTCATCAGTAAATCATTCAAGCTCACACCTCTGCATTTCTGGCTGCTGTTCCAAACAAACCTGACAGGTGTCGTCACAGAATGCGGATTTGGAGCAATAAGGTGGCTAACATACCACACTGGCCCATCCCAGTTGGCAAGGACATCCTTGGACAACTTAATTGCGGCACCTCGAGCGACCATGTCGTGCACTTCAGCAGTATAGGCAGCTTTCCATTCTGGCTCTTTAGAGAGCTGCTTTTCTGTCCTAAGGAATGTAGCCTCGACTGCCTTTCTGTTGTTCGGAAGCGAAGCTGGGTCCTCTATCCAGGGATACTTAGCATGCCAATGCTGCTCCTTGCTATGATGGTCATCTGTGACGTACGTGAGCCCCTCCCGCACAACTTGAAGCTCTCGCTCCTCAGCAAGCGTGATCTCCTTGCCCCCCGGCTGGCAGTTCCCACAACGGCAGCCTCCACATCTCGGTTCACATGCAGTGCCAATACTATCCCACTTCCACCATTCAAAAAAGTCACGATTGGTGGTGAAGACTTTCAACTCTCGAAGTTTAAGTCCATCCCGCTTATCTCTTGGAAATAATCCTGGGGCCGTGACAATGCACTCCTCATACCTTACAGCAGCCGTCCTCATAGACCTAGCAAAGTGGGTTTTAGACATGTGGGCTGCAACGTCGATCTCTTCGAAAAGGCCTGGATGGGTTCCTCCAACTGTCTTCCCTAATGGCCCATCACACAGCACAAGGTCCCCAACAACCTGAACCCTCTGGGGTGCCAGCTTACCCTCTCGATGGCTTATTAAGCTTATCTCCTTGGGCCTCACAAATTCTTCAGCTGGCACATCCGGAAAGAATTTTTGGAGCTGCTTACTCGTCACACTTTTATGAATGTCTGCAATGCTGTCTAATCCATAGCAAACCAATTGGTGGGAAGATAGAGCACCCTTTGAAGTCTTCACTTGGATCTTAAGAAGATACCTCTTAGTTACCACCTGGATTTTCATCCCACCAACACCATGGACAACGAGAGTGATATCCTCACTCCTGAGGTTCAGTCTGCTTGCAGCTCTGTGAGTAATATAATTTGTGTCTGAAGCCAAATCAATTAACGTCCCAATTCGCTGCCCCGCATTAGCAGTGACCTCAAGCAACATCATGAC